AATTGCCAAAGTGAAGCCCACTGATCTGTACAACCAGTGTGGAAGAAAGAAGTAGACAGTGCCATGGGAGGCAAAAAATACTTTTTGAGGGGGGCTTGCTGGTTAGCTCAGCTGTTTAAGTGCCTGCTTATGTAAATGCAGTCAGGCCTAGGATACTGCAGTTCGATCCCCAGACCCGCCCTCAAGGCAGCCTGAGCCAGCCAAAAAATAAATAAATTAATTAATTAATAATAATAATAATAATAACAATAACAATAGTAACAATTTGTGAAATGTGAAAAAGAAAAAATGATAAACACATAAATAATAAATGTGAGCAAGGGCTGGAATGCAGCTGAGGGGCAGAGTTCCGCTCCAGCCCCACGAATGCAAAAGCAACAACAGCACTAACAAGGCATGCCACACCTGATGCCAGTACTCCTCCCATATCCCATAACTAAGACTCAATGCATAAGAGACCATTTTGGTGGTCTTTTTCTTTTTTTGCAGAACTGGGGATTGAACTCAGGCCCTTGTGCTTGTCAGGCAAGCGCTTATTCTACTGAGCCATCTCCCTGGCCCCAAGAGACTATTTTGGAATGTACAAGTGCAAAGTGCTTATGACTTAAGATTTCAAGGCTGGGAAGATAGCAAAGTGGCATAAGCGCCTGCCTGGCAAGCACAAGGTCCTGAGTTTGATCCCTAGTACCACCAAAAAAAAAAAAGGTTTCAGACATTTGCTCAAAATAACATCTTAACATAATTCTTGTTTTGTTTTGTTTTGTTTTTGCTCCGAATGCCTTCAGGGCATGTTTGGCTGGCTTGAGTTGTGGGGATCGAACCACAGCAATCTGAGCCTGACTGCTTTGTTGAAGCAGCCACTGAAAAGAACTGAGCTACGGGGCAGGCCCCCTTAACATTATTCTTACATCCAGTATCAAAAATACTTTTTAGCCAACAAAAATATTCAAGTAATCAGTATTCAAAAATAATTTCAAAAGGGAGCTATATATGTAATTATCAAGGAAACTGTTAAAACATCATACTTCCACACAATGCTTCATAAAATTAACCAAACGAGCAATGATAATAAAGCCAATAAACTAGACACATTCACTCAACAGTTACTATAAGATATGTTTAGGTATGATAAAATACGAAAAACATAAAAGCGTAGCAAGATAAACCTTTTCTATACCTCAGCCTTACATGGAGCTTAGTTAAACAGAAACCAAAACGCATCAGGATGAAATCTGATGGCCTTACTTCACAGGAGAGCCAAATGCCCATGCAGCGTGCTCCTGTGAGACAGAGTTTAAGTTAAGGGGAAAAAATGGACAAGCTTTCCAGGCCTTTTTTTCTGTCAGTGGAGACTGTTCACACAACTGCATCCTCCACCCTTCTATTTTTTACTTGAGACAGGGTCTCAGCTCCAAGCTGCAATTCTCCTGCCTCAGCTTAGCTCACTACTGCGACTACAAACATGCACTGCTACACACAGCTTGCACAAACCTAAGTTCTCTTTTTTTTTTAATGTATCTAGTAGAGGGTCTCCATGGTCTACAGGGTCTCACTGCACAGACCAGACTTGTAGCAATTCTAGACCTAACTTCTCACAATCACTATCTGTGTCACTAACTCTAGACACTACAGCAGTAAACATCTAATTATGCTGACTCAGCATGGCTTGACACAAACAGAAAAACACTTTCATACTCTCTTATTTCTGCTTCAAAGCAAAAGGGAAAATCCACTTCATGTTTTAATTTTTTTCTTCACTTCCTTTTCCTCCAGATAAGGGATTATTGCTTCAAAAACTTTGAAAGCGAATGCTTCATGCTAATTACGCCTGCTGTACTGGCCCAGGGTGACTTGCAGCCCACAAGGGCAAGCAGCAAAACCAGGACAGCGCAGAGCTCTCAGCACAAAATCGGCCTCGCTCATCTGTGCACCGAGAAAATCCCATGACACAGCCCAGGCTGGCGTCTACCCCGAGCCTTGGGACCCCGGGGCTGCGGCATCGCTGCCGTGCTCAGCCATGAGGACTTCTCACGGGGGACTGGCTCACATGGCCAGGCCCCTTTAAGAACTACTTGTCAGGATTTTAATTTGTTTTAAGAAGAATGGGCTGAATGCACTATCCCAGCTCCCAAGTATCCATTACTGAGACAGAGTAACGCACTTAAACTAAGCACATGTGCTACGCTGCACCTGACACCAAGTAGGTAGCAAATTAATGCTCCTTCTCTCCAGAAATTTTTGCTCAAATTTTGTTGGGAGAAACTTAATTACCAACATTAGCTTTCAAATTTCTGTTCTTCTACATCCACAACACTAGCATTTTACAAAACTGAAACTATACAGCACGCACTGGTCTGTGTTTCCTGGATTTTTACTTGTGCTTCTGAAAATTTGCTAATTTGCCTAGTGAAAGGTTTCTTCTACCCAACTCATGAAATGACATAAAATCCAAGACACTTCCATAAAACTCACAAAAATACACCAACATATTATACAGAACCAAGACTTAATATTAAAATTGCATTTTACAAAGATCACATACACAAAAGTCCTAATGAAATGACAGTACAGTTACAAGAAAGGACACAAGCTGGTTCAGCAGGCTACAACACGGAACTTACTAGTATTTAAGCACAGGGATTAAATGCCTGTAATCCCAGCTTCTCGGGAGGATGAGACAGGAGGAAGGCAAACTGAAGTCAGTGTGTGCAACTTAGTGAAACCCTATCTCAAAATTAAAAATAAGTAGGGTACAGTTCAATGACAGCAACTGTCCAGCACACTTGAGGACATGCGCTCAACCCCCAGTACTATCCCAAGAAAAGGCTAAGTGAATATAGCCACTGTTTGGTATGTAACGTATCTCTACATGAACAGAATTAAAACAGGAGAGTCAGACTAGAGAAGTAGGTGGTGATCTCGAAAGCGTAACATCCCAAGGAGCAGGGGCCATCAGCCTGAGGCATGGGGCCCCAGCACCGCCTCTCAGGACCCCGGCCTCCTCCAGATGTGCACAGCAAGAAAGGACACGACACCGGGAAGAGCTGGCCACACAGCTCCCCTCACAACAGCCTGCCCTGCCTCCGCTAAGCTGGGTCTTGTCTTTTCAACCCAAGCTCACTCTGTAGAGGCAGTCTCTTCCTCACTCTTCACGTCTGTGTTTTCAAATAAGCCATGTCAAAGTTATTTTATTCCTTTCCCTCAGTTGTCTGTCTGAGACAAGAAGAACCTGGAATCCAACTCTGGAAGAGAACAAAGCAACCCAAAACCCTGTAACATTCACTGATAAGCCATGTTTAGAAGGAGCCTCCCAGAAACATAAGGACTTAAAGAAAACAAATTTTCTAATCAATGTAAAGACCCTGCATCTCATCACACAATAAACTGACCAACTATTTAGAGATTAAGACCTGCTAAGAGGCGGGGGTATAGCTCAGTGGCAAAAAAATGTGCCTAGCATTCAAAAGGCCCAAGGTTTGAGCCTCAGTACTACAAAATAAACTTTGCCTTAACAGGAAGCACCAGGCAAGATGGAGCATACCTACAGTCAGATACTCAGGAGGCTGAGGTAGAAGGACTGCTAAGTGTTCAAGGCCAGTCTCAACTACACAAGACCCTGCCTCAAAAGAATAAAAAGGGGGCCTGTCCATTAGCTCAGTTGTTTAAGTGACTGCTTACACAAAGCAGTCAGGCTCAGGCTGCTGAGGTTCGATCCCCAAATCCTCATGCCTTACCAGACCTGCCCTGAAGGCATCCTGAGCCAGCACCCCCTCCCCCCCCAAAAAAAGCCATCAAAAGACTAAAAAAAGCTTGTAGAGAAGAGCTGCCTTGCAGCAGTGTGGAGGACAGTTTTAATTGTAAAGAGCAGAAGCTAAGAAAATTACTGGGAAGTGAATAAACATGGAGACCTCGATACAGGGGACACCAGCAGAGACAGAATACACAACAGCTCTGGGTCGTTTCTTTTGTTTTCCATATTAAGGACTGAACACAGGGCCTTCACACAGATCTGCATCTCCAGACCTTCTCTTATTTTTTATTTTGAAGGTTCCCCTAAGTCATTAAATTGCCCAGAGTAGGTGGGGTCCTCTTTCCTCAGCCTCCTGCGCTGCTGGAATTACAGATGTACATCACCACACCCAGCTCAGAAGGAACCAACCTAACAATTACAGAAGCAAGAAAAAAAAAAGGTATCAAAGACCACAAAGATTTTACAGATGAGTGCCCTAGGTAGACAAAACATAAAATAAAATGCAGGGTTTCAAGTCAGTCAGGTTCTGTTCCAATCTGTGTTATATGAGTTATTTATGTCTCTGGACTTCAGCTTCCTCAGACACAGAGAGATTTGCTTTGTCTGGGTGCTGAAAGGTTAACAAGAAAATGCAGGCGAAGCACAGAGGCACACAACGCCCACGGCTGCCCAGCTCTCCTTTCTGTGACCCGCGCGCGCTTGCTCGGCTGCGGACCTGAATGCAGCACGCCGGCAACTGCCTACCAGGGGTGGTTATGTTAGAGCAGGCAAAACTGACTCAGTGAGAGGCGAAGGGACTTCCTCAGCAGCACACAACGAGCCACCTTTCTTTTTTGTTTTTTTGTTTGTTTGTTTTGTTTTTGGCAGAACCAGGGATTGAACTCAGGCCCTTGGGCTTGCCAGGGAAGCGCTTATTCTACTGAGCCATCTCCCCTACCCCCAATCCACCTTTCTGCAGGCACCAGAAGACACGCACTGACCCGGAACAGAAACAGGGTGGGAAGCTATGAACGCTCTTCTCTAAAGACCTAGTAAGCTCTCAACCACGTTCAAAAACACTGAGATGTGCCTGTTTCCTTAAAAACGTAACTGGGCAATCTGTTTGTTAAAAAACAATTTAAATGTGTGCCCCACATTCTAGTGAAGGCTCAATTTCCAAATGGGGACAGTTCCACTGAAAAGAACAAAATGAGTGCAAGTTTCTCCTGCAGCCCAGGCTCCAGGGAGCATCTGCAGCCACTCTACTCACCTTCCGAGTGCATGGAAATCGAGACGTAAAAACTGGTCCTCGTGCGAGACTGCTCTTTTGGCACGCTGGTGTTTTTGGTGTAGGGAGTCCACATTATAAGATAATCCTTCATAATGTCTAATATATTTGTTTAGAGGGTTTCCATACTGACCTATAAAAAAGACAACAATTTAAATTAGTCCTCATTTTTGAGATGGGGTATTGCCACGTAGCTCAAACTGGCTTCAAACTCGAGATTCTCCTGCTTCAGTCTCCTAAACGCGGAGATTACATGTGTGCACAACCATGAGTGGTCTTCAATTAGCATCATTAAGGCCTCTTCTAATAGGAATCCACAATTATTCAAGTGTCTATGAACATGTATGGAACAACTATCTCACTACTCTCATACTAAAATGAAGTCCTCAAAAATATTATTTTCTTTTTGTATTTATTTTGTCTGGTGGCGCAGTACTGGGAATCCACCTAGGAGATCTCCACTACTGAGCTACATCCTCAGCGCTTTCATTTTTATTCTGGGACAGTCCCACTAAGTTGTAGGTGCTTACTAAATTACAACCCTTCTGCCTCCGTCGCCATCAGCGCTGGAACTACCACCACGCACCATCCATCATGCCTGGCTTTTCCTGTGCATTAGCTGATGGCAACTTCACTTAGACGCAGGTGTTTGGGCATTAGCTGTGGGCTAGATGCAACTTACCACATTAAAGAAGTTCATTTGTATCACACTTTGCTGATAAAAACTATCAGGAAAAGAGGGTGATTTTGTCATTTGTTCTTCCCTGATCTACCGAAATAACCACGAGTGTGGTAGCACATGCCTCTAATTCCAGTTACTCGGGAGAACGAGTCAAGAGCTGACTGAAAGGCTGAGGCCACCCTTAGCAACTTACAGACACCCTGCCTCAAAATAAAAACCCTCCAAAGGGAGGAGGATGCAGCTTAGTGCTAGAGCACTGGCCTGCCGTGCTCAAGACCTGGCGTAATCCCCAGGACTGAGAGAGGGGAGAGGGGTCCTCTTAGTGTTTTTCTTTCCAGTCAATATGATGAATTAAACTGATTTTTCAATGTTAAACCGTGCACTTGAGATAAACTCCACTTGATCATACCATGAGATTCAAGTTGCTGCAATTTTATTCAGTGTTTTGCAGTTGTTTTTGACCCATTCTTGCTCTGTTGCTTTAATGTTGAGATCCTCCTGCCTCTGCTTCCCGAGTAGCTAGGATTAAAGATCTGCCTCATCATGTTTAGAATTCTTGTTATTTACATCTACGATAAAAACACTGATTTGTAGTTTTCTTGTATTACCTCTGTCAAGTTTGAGCACCACAGCTTAAAAAAGAAAAGTGGGAGAAGACTTATCTATTCCTCAATTTCCTGGACGAGTTATGTGGAATTGGCATTTCCTCCTTATTTGGTAAAGTTACCAGTGAAGCCATCTTAGCTAGTTTTCTTTGTAGGAAGGTTTTAACTACAATTTCAGTTTCATAAATAAATTAAGAAGCTATTCATGGTATATATTTCTTCTTGGGTGAACTTCAATTCTAAGCATTTAGCCCTATAAACGTTCTCTAAGTACTGCTAACAGCAACTCACGAATTCTATAATTTGCGTTTCCATTTTCACTCTGCTCAGCATATTTCTAATTTCCCTTTTGATTTCTTCTTTGATCCATGTGCTCTTTAGAACTCTGTTATTTAACTGAGGTGTGGTAGGGCACACAGGAGGATCCAGAGTTTCACCCCATCTGGGTAACAAAAGACCCAGTCTCTAAATAAACCCTGAAAAGGGTTGGGAATGCAGCTCAGTGCAAAGGCCCTGGGTTCATGCTTCAGTAATAACAATAAAATTGTAGTGGTCTGTTAGGTTTTTATGTGCTCAGGATTTTTCAACTACGTCTGAAAACACGGTTTGTAGGACACCAATTCCCTTACACACACTGAGGTTCATTTAGGACCCAGAAGAGGTCTCCCTTCACAAACGCATGCATCACACTTGCTTGAAAAGAATGTGTATTCTGCTTCTTGAGGAGTGAGGTCTCAGAATGCCCATCTCTATTTTTGCTTGTGGGGTGGTTTGTAAACGTCAATTAGGTCAGGCTGGTCAACAGTATTTTTCCAGTCCTCTACCTCCTTGCTGATCTCCATTTTTTTATTTTGAGAAGTACTGAAATTTGCTTAGAATTATGACTTCATATTTCTTCTTGAAGTTTTTTGTGGTTTGTTTTGTTTTGCTTTTTGAGACAGTCTCATTGCATAGTTCACTAGCCTCAAACTCAGTGATCTTCCTGCCTCAGCCTCCTGAGTACTAGAATTACAGGCACGTCCCCACATCTGGCTATATACACAGAAAGACTTACGATCATCAGGTCTTCTGGGTCAATTTACTCCAGCATCATCAAGTGGCCTTTACCTTTTATAGTATTTTATATTTTTAAAATCTGTTTTGTGAAGCTGGGGCAGAATCACAAGTTCAGAGCCAGTCGTGTTTTTTTCTTCTTCCAGTTCCAGGCGTGGTTTACAGTGCAGTTACGGCCAACTCCAAGAACCACACCACACACAACTAGTCCCGAAAATGGCACAGAAATGACATCAAAGAAACCTCGGTCACAAAGACACAAGTCTCTGATGGGGATAAATCTCAAGTTCCTTAGGAACATGTTTTGCCAAGAAGCACAACAAGAAGGGCTTCAAGAAGATGCAAGCAAACAATGCCAAGGCCATGAGTGCACGCGCCGAGGCCATCAAGGCCCTCGTTGAGCCCAAGATCATCCCAAAGGGAATGAACCGCAGGCTCGCTCGACTTGCCCAGCTCGCCCACTCCAAGCTTGGGAAGCGTATCTGTGCCCGCACTGCCAAGGCTCACAGGCTTGCCAGCCAAGGCCAGGCTCCCAAAGGTGCCCAGCCCCCAAGAAGGCTCCACAGGAAAAGCCTCTATCTGCTGATGTGAGGACAGAAGGACTGGTATGACCACTGGGCTGCCATCTGGGGGACTAGTGTCCTCCTGTACTTTCACACAAATAAACCTGAGGAAGGAGAAAAAAAAAAAAAAAAAAAAAAGCCTGATCCCTGTCTCAAAAAAAACAAAAATTAAAAACTACTACTTTATTTGACACTAATACAACCACCCCACATTCTTTTCCCCCTTAAGTAGAACTGTATAGCTTCTTGTACCCTTTTGGTTTAGCCTATTTTTGTCTTTGTATTTAAAAATGAGTTTCTAGACAAAGGGATCCAGAACATACGCAGAGGAAAGGCCACCTCTCTGGGGAACGGTGCTGGCCAAAGTGCTGGCTCCAGGCTGAAGACTGAACCCCACCCTGGCTTCCCACCGTGCACTAACTAAAGTCAAATGGATTAAAGACGGAAGTATTAAGATGCAACAAACTGCTGGAAGAAAAGATAGGTACAACTCTTGAAGTCAGGGCACAGGCAGAACTCTCTGAGCAGAATCCCAACTGCACAACAAATAACATCAAGAATCAACACACAGGATTCCATCAAATTAAAGAAATCAATGCAGAGAAGAGACAGCCTACCAAACAGAAAACATTCAGTACCACCTACACCTTGGAGAGGAGTCACACCCAGAATATAGAAAAAACTTAAAAAAATTAGGCATCCTCCAATATAAAACACCCAATCAAAACTTGAGCAACCAAAATGAAAAGATGGGCCACAGATGCAGCTCAGTGGCACAAGTGCCTGTGTGGCAAGTGCAAGGTCCTGAGTTTGATTTCTGATACCAAAAAATAAAGTAAAAATTTAAAAATACATATTCACTTCTCAGAAGTATAAATGACAAATAAACTGATGAAAGATGTTCATAATCTCTGACCATTAGAGAAATGGAAGTTAAAACAACCCTAAGATTCCATCTTACTCCAGAAGAAACAGTTATAACCACGAAATCCACAGTACCACGTTCGGTGGGGGGATGGTTTCAAGGAACGCACACTAGCGCAGCTACTACAGAAACCTGTACAGAGACTCCACAAAACCTGAAATACAGACACTCCCTCTGGCCCAGTTATCCCCATTAAGCATCAGCGCCTTCCTGAGAGAGCTGGAGACCTGCTGCGGCGGTCATGCACGTCGCAGTGGGTAACAGCTAACCTCAGAAGGGGCCCACGCGTCCTCCATCCACAGATGGACAAGTAAGAGAACACGTGCTGCTGACACACAAGGGGCTCTACTCTGCTACAAAAGGGGCAACTCTGCATCCTCTGCAGGAAATGGATGCGCCTTGACACCACATTTTTAAGGGAAATAAATCAGACACACAGCTTAAATGTCACATGGTTTATCCTATATGAAAAATTCAAAGTATACATAAATTAAGAGACAAAGAATAGGAAACAGGAAGACAGAGCTTTCTCAACTGAGAAGGGGCAAAAAATGGAGGGGAGTGAAGGGAGGTGGAATCAAACCGTGTTCTGCACGTGTGTCAATGCAGGATGACTGTAACCATTACTACAGCAAACATACGCTAGTAACAAAAAAAAAAAAAAAAAAAAAAAAAACTAAAGTGAATTTCTAGTAGTTGGGTCTTGCTTTGTACCCAGTCTGACACTCTCTCCTGCTGAATGACTGCTCAGATCACGTAAATTTAAAGCAGCCAGGCTGGGGTGCGAAGTCCTGGGTCTGCACCCTCACCCGAAGAGTGAAGGAAGTGGTTACCACGAGAGCGGACGTCACTACCATCTCCCTATTAGCTGTCTACCTGTATCATCTGTCCTTGTTCCCTTTTTCTGACTTTTTTTGAACTAATTTTTTAATGTTTTACCTGTTAGGTTATAAGCTACAAATTTTGAGCTCTTTTAGTGACTGCTTCAGACTTTACATACTTAATTTAACCCAGCCTACTTTCACGTGGCACTGCACTATTTGCTATAATAAAGGTTGACTATCCCTAAAGAAAATCTAAAATGCAAAGAGCTGGACAGATAGCTCAGCAGACTAAAGCATCTGCTTTGACAGGCACAGGGACCAGGGTTTGATCCCCTCCGCCCCCCTGAGAAAGTGATTGAGACTGGGTGTGGTGGCATGCACCTGGAATCCCAGCACGTGGGAGGCTGAAAACAAGAGGATCACTACGAGTCCAATCTGTAGTGAGACCCTATAGACCCTGTACTAAAATACATGTTAAAAA